TGGGAGAGAGCTCAGAGCTGTGTGAGGCGGGAAGAGGTGTGGTGCACAACTTAGTCGATTAATTGTTGCAGCTCTACAAAAAAGTGTAAAATAACATTTATATAAAGACTGCTTGTGGTACCCTGTGTCATGCTGTCCTCTGCAAACACTCCCACCCTCCCCCAGTGGGCCTCCACCAAGCAGCTGGTGCCCAAGGCTGAATAGGGGCCCAATGCTGGACCCCAGCTTCAGGCCCCTATCAGCCTTGGGCACCCACTGCTGTCCCCTGCAAATGCTCCCTCCCCAGTGTGCCCCCACCCCAGAGTCTGACACCACGCTGCTGCTGTTCCCCCGGACGTCTGCTTACTTTTCCAATCCAGTGCAGTCCAGGACCAGCAGCTCAGCTCTGCTCAGCTCCTCTCCACTCCACCCCCGCCTTGCTCTCAGTGCTCGTTCCCCAAGCTCCGCTCCCCCCAAAACCTTTCCTGCATGTGCACAGCACAGGAAGGTACATAATGTACAGGGGACGGGCGGGGGGGCCCGGACCGTACCAAGTTTACTGTACGCCGCGGTGGACCCTGTAAGAGCCACTCACAGACAACGGTGCCCGTGTACGGACACCATGCCGATCCCTGCCTAGGGATGTCATCTGCTGAGTTCATCAATATACCAAAAAAGAAGAGATATTGACTCAGGCCTGGCAAAAGGGAACCTTGAATTTTGACGGAGCCCAGATTCACTTGTTCCCGGATGTCTCCGGGAATACATTACTTATGAGACGCCTTCTCCGTCCACTACTGGAGAAGATTTGCGAGTGCGGAGCTACCTACAAATGGGGTTACCAAGTTTCACCTTATTGTCCAGAAGATGAACGCTTCTTTTGGGCTGCATTCTCCCGAAGACCTGCCAGCACTCTTCTCCTTTCTGCAGACCGACCCCGTTCTGTTATGGAAATTTGCTTGGTTTAACGCACAAATCCATGCCACACTAAAGTGCACCAAAGTATGTCAAACACAAAGAATTTCCCCCGTGCTTAAAAGCACAGTTGTATTAAGCTCTTTTGTGCAAGGACTGGAGGTACCTCTGTAGAGTCATATAGAGTCAGGACACCATGATGTTTTCATGATGGTGGTTCTGTTCTTAGAGAGCGTGTGTTCTCCCTCCAGCCTCTTTTATTAACTCTCAACAAGGAAGTGATGTCTCAAACAGGAAGTGATGTCTCAAACAGGAAGTGATGTCTCAAACAGGAAGTGATGTCTCAAACAGGAAGTGATAACAGATGAGCAGAACATGACTCATCCTTGCCACATGTATGTACAGCCGCCATCTTTCCAGACCCACAAACACAATCTCCCATTAACACTGGAGCGAACTTTATCCAGCATTGCTCAGTGAGCAATGCCCAATAACGTTACTATGTTTCTCATGAATGCGTGCTTATCTACAGGGACAATGCCATACCATATCCAGCGCGCTGATCAGACGCATCAGAAATACGAATGCACGTTCCTTTCATAAAGACAGATATGTATCGTAAATAACACTATGTCCTCAAAGCAAATTGTATACACGCCAAGCCAATAAATCCGCGTTTTGCGCAGGGGCCCTAGCTGGTGTCCATACACTCGCTAAGAAAACACTGCTCCGCCACGCATAAGATATCTACTCCAATGGTTCACCCCAGCGCTGATTTAAATCCGGGTCACGCTCCAATCGAGCGCGGCGCAGAAATCCAGACACTGAGAGACTTGATGACAATATTACAATATACTAAAACACATACTAGTAAAATTTCCACAACAGTTCCCTTGCCCAACTGGCTACAAGCCCTATTGGATCCGGCTTACAAAGCTGACAGTGCCCGTACTGCTGGACACCAAATTCGCACTCCTAGCTCTAATCGTTACCACCCATCTGATCGCGCTTCTTGACAGGCCCGCCCGACACCAAGAGAGCATGGGTCCTAGCACTTTCATACATCTCAAAATGAACTGTAAGCCGGCCATCCTTTTTTTTTTTTCTTAATACCTGTACTTTTTGACACCTGAGACTTTGTGAATTTGAAAACGAAGGCTGAGTATACCTTAATTTTGCTCCTGAGTAGCGGATATCCATGGGCTTCCCGCCGTTAATGCTGAACTCTCTTTTGGGGGTATCTACTGCAGCAACCTCTTTATTGTCAGTAGTATTCTCAATAAGCTTTATGCCCACCTGGGGAGCTCACCGAGTCGACTGTATTATACATCCTAATATGGGTTACTGTGGTTGGGAGGCAGGAAAGAGGTGTCCCCGATCTTGTCCCTATTTACAGTTCATCACCGTTGTCCTCCCCTTTGTTACTAGGGGACACTGGGTCGAGTTGGTGAGATCATCTAGGGCAATGGTTCTCAACCTGTATAACTTCAGGACCCACATTTGTCCTCGGTCATTAAGTCGTGACCTAAGCTGCACTGCTATAGAATGCACGGCAGTGTGGGCTGCTGTGCTGTGATGGAGCTCCATTCATAAGTGCTTTGCTATTCTAGCAGATGTTCCCCTACCTCCAATTTTTTTTTCTCTCTTTCTTTACTCTTTTCCCTCTCTCCCCCTTTGTATCTTTCTTCCCTCTCAGTTCCCCTTCACCTTATCTCGGTAATACATTCCAATAATCGTATTTCCTCTGCGGATTGTCGGGACATGGAGGACCTACAGCTGGTCACTATTAATGCGAAGGGCCTCAATAACCCCTGAGAAAGGGAGACTATTACTACAGGATCTTAGGAGATGGAGATCTCATGTGGCCTTCATCCAAGGAACCCATTTTAGAGCTGAGGCTGCTCCCTCGCTTAGGGATTCCCACTTTCCGGTCTCTTACCACTCTTGCAATGTGTCCTCAAAATCGAGAGGGGTTTCCATTGTACTTTCTAGACAGGTTCCCTGTCATGGTTCCCTGCAAGACTGATGCCGATGGCCGCTATTTGTTCCTGAAAGGTCGGATTGATCTTACTGTGGTCACTTTTGTGGCAATCTACGCTCCATACACTATCCAGGTTTTTTTTCTGGAAAATATTCTGAATTTGTTGTTGAACTTTTCAGAGGGAGTTTTGATCCTTGGAGGTGACTTTAATGTCACTATGGATCCATCCATGGATTCGACTTCTGGCTCCTCCTTCTCCCCTACACCAGGCAGACGTATCCTCCGATAATTTTTTCGTTCTCAGCTTGTTGATACCTGGCGTCTGCAACATCCAAATATGAAAGATTATACATTCTATTCTGAGCCCCACTACACGTACTCACTCATAGACATGTTTTTTATTCAACAGTAACTACTAGCATTGATCACTGCCACGGACATAAGCACTATCACCTGGTCGGACCATGCTCCAGTTTTTTTTTTGAGACTCACTCTTTCTGATCTCCCTTCCCACAAATCGTGGAAGTGGCGTCCTTATGACAGTCTCCTCCAGGACCCAAACAGCCTGTCGGATGTCACTAAGGAATTACGCTCCTATTTTGACCTTAATGATGTTGAGGATTGTGATCCAGTGCTCCTATGAGAAGCCCACAAAGTTTATACAAGGGGGGTTTTGATCAAGCATGGCTCCCGTGTTAAGCAGCAGAGAAATGCCAAACGTTTAGATCTCTTGCATACTCTTCATGGTTTGGAGCTTCAACATAAATCAACCTGCTCTCCTGCCATACTTCCAGATATACTTTTCCTATGCTGGCAGATAAACTCCTTGACCTCTTATAGGGTATAAAAGTACCTCTTATAGGGTACAGGGTATAAAAGCGACACTCACATGTTGTAGGTGGAAATTTTACGAATCCGGAGATAGGTGTGGGAAATTACTAGCGAGAGCACTGCAGGATCAGCGGATGCTCTTATATGTTCCACATATTGTAAAACTTCAACATTTTAAAGTTACACTCCCAAAGGCTATTGCTAATGCCTTCCAAGAGTACTACTTGAAATTGTACAACTTGCGATCTACACCTGATCCTGTAATTCAGGGCTCATTGCATGATAGGATCTCCTCCTACCTGAATTAAACTAATATGCCCTCCATAGATACTCAAATAAGAGAAGCATTGGAATCCCCCATAACACCTGACGAGTTACTTGCGGCGCTTAAAACTACTATGTTGCAACAAAATGATGCACACACATATAATTACAATGCAGCATTTTACAACACACGACAATGCGTCACAATGCTTTGCCATGCGCTGCCACACACAGTTGAATGTTATTTAAAAAGGAAAAAAATCAAGTACTTTGATGTGTTTAACAATGCACTGAAGCACATGTGCATAACGCACATCACAATACGGTGCACACTGTTGCATATGTATGTTGTGTGTGTGTTTGTAGGGCACCTCCCCCCTACACACACATTTAACATACATATGCAACAGTGTAAATCTTATTGTGGTGTGCGTTATGCACATGTACTTTGGTGTGTTTTATTTATTTTTTAACTATTTTTTTAATTATTTTATTATTTTTATTTTTTTACTTTACTGTTTAGACTTTGGGGAAATATCAGGGGTCCAAATAGACCCCTGATATTTCTCTTTTGAGATAGAAAAAGAGATTGAATCCTCAATCTTCTTCTCTGCAGCCCCAGGACTTACTGAACAGGAAATGCTAAAAACAGAACTCCTGTCCATTCATAAACTGAGGAGATATAGTATCTTTACTATCTCCTCACTGACGAATGAAAAGGAAGTAATGTATGCAGAGCTCCTCTTGTCCCTTCATAAACTGAGGAGATAGTTTATTTTGTCCGCAGTCATGAATTTACAAGTGATCTGTAGTGCTTTCTGTTCATTCATAACTGGGGACATAGCAAACATTTAATATCTCAGGTATAAATGAACAGTACTGATCACTCGAGTTTGTTCAGTAAAGGGAACAATCGGTAAATATTACACATATTTATCGATCTTCCACTCGGCATCTTGAACTACTCTGCCCTGCCTGTCACTGAATCCTCCTGCCTGTAGCTCAAGTCTACCTGCTGGGTGCCAGCAGCATGGTCCTCACTGTGTCCCCTCTGATCCCTGCCGTCTATGCCAATACAGGCGGGGGAGAGCAGCGGGGATTGGAAGGGACACAGCGGGACATGCAGGGGAACAGACTGCCGGTGATCAGTGGGGAGGATGAAGCGGCAGACATGGAGAGTGCAGAGTGACGGGAATGGCTGTGATGGGGGGAGTCTAATTTTCAATAAATGGCAGCTTGTCAGCCACTGGTGACAGCTATTCATGTACACAGAAGTTTTTGGGGAACCCTTCTGTTAGGGTTAGGGTTGCTAAAGAAGTGACCATGAGCCAACATAAGGCATACTGAGCTGACCAGCTACAAACATTTTTGTTCTGCCGCATGCATTACGTTGGTAACAGTGAAGGGGTTAAACCCACCCTGTTATTTAGATAGAAAGGAACTCTACAGATGAGGTTTTCCTACCTCAGAAAGTGGTTACATATATAACAGAGAGGACAACTGGATCTCAGGACGCCATCTATGTCATATTGTAACAAATATTCATAGGTTGGGGGAGGGGGCCTTGGATACCATCTTTCGCTCACATATAATGCTGTTTTAAGATCATTACACTGGAGATTTGACTATTTTTTACCTTAAGTTATGCAATTCGAACAGTTAACACTTATCCCAGACTCCACAGCACTACGATTGCATTATGGAAAGATTGGATAACAATGTTTAACAAACTTTCACACCTGCCATCATATTATTGGACAAACAACATCTGCCTTGACACATTGTATGACACCACAGTGAATGGTTTTAGATGACTAAGTTAACCATTAGAACTGAGTAAGTCACTTGGATGTGTATCGGAACTTTAAGTACTTCTAATAATACTACAACATTTTTTCTTTAATTCGCTGCCTATATTTTATATCATAGATGGAGAAAAACGTGAAAAATATGGCCTTTTAGCTTTCAAATATCACTTTTTTTCCAAATCTTCATTAACATGATTGGTATATGTTGATAAACAAGTGTATACATTTTAGGGGGTTATGTTTTTTCCATTACTTGTTCTAAGTTTCGCTGTAACCCGGAAATAACTACATCATTTAATCTGGTGGATTGAAAACAAATGAACAACCCACCTTTACTGTTCTGTTTCAAAAGTTGCTTTATGCTTTGACATACCTCCTTTGGACCTCAATCCTTCCGGGCAGTATGGTTACTAGATGAATCAGCACAATCCACAGATGGTCTAACTTTCCAATAAGACACAGAAGCTTAATAAATACAGTTTGACTTCTCTAAGTATTTTTACAGAGGATGTTTGCTGGTCATTTGTAGTGTAAAAAGACAATAATCTTCCAAACCTAGTGTCTGCGATGAAGGCTAGCAATAAACTGAGGGAACATGGAAGAAGGGAGGGTCTATTTACGACTATACCAACTGACACTAAGCAAGAGGGGAGAACAGTGGGAAATACCAAATGTATACAGAAAAACAAGTTGTAGTAGCGCTAATCTACCACTAGATGTCGGGCTAATACCACAACATAATACTATGCAATCAAATACATAGCAGTGTAATACCAATAACAGAAAATAACAGTGGCTGTAGCAACACATGTACAATTTACAGATTTAGATTTAACAGTAAGTCTGTAGACTCGACATGAAGTAAAGGGTTATCTTTCTGTTCTGGTGGCAACTCAAATTTTTGGATTTCCCCTTGCTGTCATTTTTAGCGACACTGGTAATCAGGTAATCTGACCCCAATAAAAACCTGCCAGTGGTTTTACCCCTCACCACTCTAGATCTAAATCCATAAATCTCTAACAGCACTCCACTGAATTCCTGGCAAACAGCTGAATACAGAGTTGAAAAGGGCAAAAAAAGAAAAGCCTTTTAAAGCTTTCACTGCCAGAGTCTTTTTTTTTTACCATGTTTTTTGCACACATGTTAAAATCCACATTTTAGGCCTGATAATTAGTTAACCGCCCCCCCTTCCCCAGAATTATATATTACCTTAACTTAAAGACCCTGTAGAATGAAATAGTGGCAGTTGCAAATTTTTATGTCGCATGATATTAGCTCAAGTGTTAATTAAACCCCATATTTCAGTAAAATATACGTTTACGTTAATTTTCATGCTCAAAAACACAATACCCAATTTTTTTGGTACAATTTAAAAGAGGAGCTTAACACATAGTAAACATATACCCAACATGCTAAGAGTCAAAATTGTGAATGTCTGTGCAGCAGCAAAAAACTACAGTACTCCAAATTAGCCATAGGCGACGCTTTCAACGCCTATGCAAGTCATCAGTTTAAAGTTAACTGTGACTAATGGCCCTAATATTGTTGCTCTCATTATGGTGTATGTCAGGCTCAAAATTTCAAGTCCTGAGCTACTAGCCAGGCCTTAAAAGTTACTCGCCACCAGTTGCCCCACCTAACCCGTACCCTGCCCCGTAACAACACACAATACAGAAGTCAGTGGTGCAATGCCGAATACAGAGGCCAGCGATGTGACGCACAGTACAGAGATCAACAGTACAGAGGTCAGTGTGACGCACAGCGCAGAGGTCAGTGTAATGCACAGCGCAGAGGTCAGTGTGACACACAGCGCAGAGGACAGTGTGACGCACAGCGCAGAGGTCAGTGTGGCGCACAGGTCAGTGTGACGCAGAGCTGTCAGTGTGACGCAGAGTGGTCAGTGTGACGCACAGAGCAGAGGTCAGTGTGACGCGCAGAGGTCAGTGTGATGCACAGCGCAGAGGTCAGTGTGAAGCACAGCGCAGAGATCAGTGTGACGCACAGCGCACAGGTCAGTGTGATGCGCAGAGGTCAGTGTGACGCACAGTGCAGAGGTAAGCAGTGTAAGGAAGAAAGAAAAGGGACTTACAGTGCACTTAGCTAATGGTAGTCGGGTGCCCTCTTATTTCTCCTGGTGGTGGGGGGGGTATAGAAATCCTGAATGTAGGGAGATAAAACTTTATTTTCCCGCGCTGCATACATTTCTGGCCGAGTGTCTCACTGTCTCTGCAGTCTTCCTCCCAGCCTGGCAGCTGAGGTGGGCGGAGGAAGCTCCTCGGCCGCTCTGAAGCTGCAGCTATAGAGGAGGGCGAGTGGAAATTTTGAGGCCTGGTGTATGTGATACCTAATATTTGTGCCACAATCGTTGTTTTAGTACGTAGGCGCACCCAATATGTGTTTGCTTTAGTATGTAGGTGGGAACGGGGGGCTTTAAAAAAAATGTTTGGGGTGTTTTTAAAGTTGTTTTATTTAACTTTATTTTTTTTAAACTTTGTTTTTGTTTTTGTTTTTTTACTTAATTGCTATCACATGTAATAGCAGTTTTGTGATGATATGTGTTCTTTAAGGAAACGTTAGGGGTCTGATAGGCCTCTAATGTCATCTTTCCAGCCCATTAAAACTGATCGTGCTTGATCAGCTTCTTCCCTGGCCTCTCTGGCCGGGGAATGACAGCTAAGAAACCGGAAGTGATTAAATCATTGTTGCTTCTAGTTTCATTCAGTGGGGTAGTGATCAGTGAATAGATGTGCCCCCCCCCTCCCCCATCCACACACACACACCCGCTTACTCCTGCAATACTGGTCCTGGGCCCACAGAATTGCAGCGGGGGTAACACGTTTACCAGCCCCTGGAAGTGATCAGTTGGCTTTACAGTCACCCAAATCGCTTCCAGTGTAAAGCTACAGTACAAGGGCCCGCTACTACCAACATATGACATACGTCAGCAGCAGCAGCAAAAGGGTTAAAAGACACATACTTTGTTGAAACCAGTTTAGTCTATCCTCTCTAGTTATTTATTTTGGAGTGGCCTTTATTCTGGTTATATCATTCGGTTTGTTTGAAATTGTATATATTGCATGAAAAAAATTATTTTATGGCAGTGTTTTTGTGCTTCTGTTGAACTAATTCATTGTTTCTTAAAACCAGAATGTCACTGGCAGACTTTTGGTTGGCTTACGCTGGTGCAACCAGATTGATGAAGATGGGAAAAGTCATTGGATTTTTGAAGCCAAAAAGGTATTTTCAGACTATTAAGTGACAAATTGAAAGAGTACCATAGTAGCTAATCTGATATAAACTTAATGTTTTGTAGAACTAGGCAGCTAGATAAACACCCTGAACTCTTGAGTAATGCAGAATAAACGTTATTTTTCTTGTAGTACAAATGGTACTGAATAGTATGGTTCTTGCCGTAGAAAAAAAAAGTAATGTCCCAGAATGTGAAGGGAATGAATGGTAAGCATATGGAAATGGAGACAGGCTCATTTGACTGCTGATGTCCAGTGTCTCTATAGAGACCGCAATTAAACTCGCATTTTCAGAAAGATCTAAAGAAATGCCTGTATTATTATAAAGCTTTTATTTTACAAATATACATTTAATAAACACAGGGCCCACCCAAAAAATTATGTTTCAGAGCATTATTAGTTTTCAAAAGACAGAATGCAGCAGAAGCTGCTTACTTTCAGACTGTCTTTAATTCGTAGTCTCTATTCACATCTGAACACAGCAGACAGGGGGAAAGTGGGGAGGGGGAATATAAACAGAAAACCAGTGCTCTGACTTATTCATTTTTGTGTGTAAATATGAGCTTAAAAGATGTAGGTTAGTTACCTGCTGTCCTGCAGTTTAAGTAACCCTAGTTCTTTTACTAAAACATGCTGACAGGTATGAGATGCATGTACCTTCAGCATCTTTTAGTGCCCCTGCTTTGTGTCAATGCTGGGCAGTTCCATTTGGACAAAGCTATGTAGTGCTTAAGGTTGCCTGCCCACTCCCCATTCCCTATTAAACCATCACAACGAGGGGATGTATCACTGGCTGATAGGAATATGAGGGGGATGAAGCTTTAGGTAGGCTAAACATTTCCTAATCGGAATCCCCACCCCGATTCAGGTGATGGGGGAACTGAAAGCTGATGCAGGTATCAGCATGTACCTCTATGGCAGTCTGCAACTTTTTTTTTTGGTTGTTAAAGGAGAGCATGAGAAACATGTAACTTCATGAACTGCATAAAATTAGCAGGGCCCACCTAACTTATCATTGAAATATACTTAGACAACTATATAACCACTCATCTCAGCACTACAGATCTACAATACCTCCCAAAAAACAAAGTACAATGTGCAACTCAAAACATGTGTTACATAAAATAAACACCACTGTGAAAGTCCATGTGACAAGGTGTGTAATCAATGAAGAATAATCCATCGGTTACTACACAAGCTGAGGTCTATGGGTATAGACGAATTAGAGAAAACTGGCTACAGGAACGGGTACAAAGAGTATCGATAAATGGCTCCTTCTCGGATTGGGCTAGGGTCATGAGTGGCGTGCCACAGGGCTCTGTGCTGGGCCCCATGCTGTTTAACCTATTCATTAACGATATTGGGGAGGGGGTAAACAGCCATGTTTCAGTGTTTGCTGATGATACCAAAATCGGGAGGGTAATAGACACTGAATTAGACAACATAACATTACGGGGGGATCTGGATAAAATAGGGGAGTGGACAACTACATGGCAGATGAGGTTTAATGTAGATAAATGTTAAGTTGTGCACTGTGGGGTTAAAAATAAGAAAGTGGATTACACACTAATGGGAACTCCACTAGGGAAGTCCGAAAGGGAAAAAGATTTGGGGGTCATCACATCCTGGATAATAGCTCGCAGTGTCAGGCTGCGGTAAAAAAAAAGCAAGCATGGTCCTGTCCTATATTAAAAAGGGAATGTTTTGCAGGGACAAGTCTATAATTTTGCCACTTTATAGATCACTAGTTCGGCCCCATCTGGAGTATGCGGTCCAGTTTTGGGCACCAGTGAATAGAAAGTATATCCTTGAACTGGAAAGAGTCCAGAGGAGGGCAACCAAACTCATAAAGGTGATGGAGGACCTGAGCTATGAGAACAGGCTACTAAATTTACGCATGTTCTCATTGGAAGTAAGGAGATTAAGGGGGGACATGATTCTAATGTACAAAATGTTTACCGGGGATAAAAACATTAGCAGCAAACTCTTTACAATTAACTCCATGACAAGGACGAGAGGCCACCAGCTAAAATTGGTGGAAAAACAATTTCAGCACAAGGGGCGAAGGGGTTTCTTCTCAGTTAGATCAGCCAGGTTCTGTAACTCGCTGCCATATGCTGTGATTTCAGCTGAAAGTGTGCAATCGTTCAAGAGGCGATTGGACGATTTCATCAGGGACCGTAATATTCAGAGGTACTAGTCTTTGATCTTTTATTTTTGCTCCCTAAAGGTATACACTCATAAGAATGAGAACGCACAAATACCTATACATACACACACATCAGTAGGACTATACACATACACACAATAGGTTGGACTTAATTGACCAATGTTCAGAGATTCAAGATCTCCATTGTCCTTCAATGAAAGCAGAGAAAAGGATTTTATGTTGAGTACAAAAAAAAATCCTTTTTTTTTTTGTCTAAATTTGTGGTATAGGAAAATACCTATGGAATGGATCGATATTTATCAGAAATGATTAGTACATACAAAATAAATTGCCACATTTTTTACATTCTGTTGCACCAATTTTCTACTCTTTGTCAAAAGGAAATTGGTTTTTGAGACGGTTTCTTCAAGTATATGTAAAACCAATCACTAACATAAGCTTAAAAGTGTTAATGTAAATTCAAAAGTCATTTTCAACCTTTTTGTAAATCTGCAGCTTTCATTAGTTTGAAGATTTCAGATTTTCATTACCTGTTAATCCTACAAGGAAGGCGCTGGTTCATGTACCTGTTCTAGGATGGGATTGCTGTCTCTATCAATTCCTCCCCTGCATTGTCACCATGTCAAATGTGGTTCTGGCTGAGACTAGAAGTGTCCAAGCTGATGCTTCATAAACAGCCATATCTCACTGCTGTTCCCATAAGTCTTGCAATAACCTCCTTGGGTATAATATGTTTACCTTTGATAGTTACACACTGCTTCCAGGTTGGCATTACTTGTGCTCCATTGTATGTGTACCTGTATCTGTGGGTTGGAAATAAAATATATTTTCCAGGACGGATTTATCTTTTGTGCCTGTGCTACATGACAGTTAATGACAAAGGTGGCATGTTCTTTCTATGATTGTGATCAAAACAACTGCTGAAATAATTCTTAAAAAAGTTTAGTTTGCTAAAGCATGGTGTATCATAAACAATTATTTTTTGTTTACTGTTTTCACCCTTCTTACATCAAGAAGAAGTAACTATTTTAGAAGAAGTAGTCCAAAACTTCTAGCCTGCAAAATCTGGGAACAGGTCCTCTTCAAATTGAAGGGGTGCCCCCACTAGTGGGGGGATGCCTCTGAGCCTTCTCGGCCTTCTGAGTACGGGACATTCCTGGTGTCAGGGTCAAGAGCATCATAACCAAAGGTTACACAGTGAAGTTTTGCTTACTGCCTCCTCCTTTATTGTTTTCGTTCCAGAGGTAGAAAGATTTCATGGGTATTTCAACCTGTTCACTGATCCCAAAGCAAAATGAGGTTCACCCTATTCTTGATCTGAAGATTCTCAACGGGTTCCTGTGGGTTAAAAAGTTACGTAGCCTACCTGATCAGTCAATGCCTCCCTTTCAGTCATGTGATTTTCTGGCCTCAGTGCACATTAAGGATGCATATTTGCACATACCCAATTTTCCTGCTCACCAGTGCTACCTGTGTTTTGTTGTGGACATGCAGCACTACCAATTTGTTGACCTTCTATTGGGCCTGTCACTGGACCTCAAGGTCTTGACCACAATGCTGGTCTATTATGGCTCTGCTTTGGTCTCAAGGAATCCATAGAGTACTTGGACAACCTTCTCCTCTGTGATTAGTCAACAAGAGTCTTAATGATACAAACCATACAGGGGTTTGGATTGGCCCTGAATCTCCAGAAGTCGATGATTGAACCCTCACATTGGAGTACCTGGGCCCAGTCTTGGCCAAGACCCTGTCCAGAGTCTTCCTTTCTCTGGAAAAGATCCAATGTCTCTCGTACCATGCTCAGATCTTTCAGTCCTGGAGTTGCTAGACCATTGGTTTTGCATGAAGGTCCTCAGCTTAATGGTGTCCTCCTTTGAAGCAGGCCCATATTTTCCACTCTCTTCATTCCAGGCCTCAACATTGTGGCAAGGTGGGACAATCGGGCCTTGCAAAGGACAAGACATGTCCTTTTGTGGTAGATCTCCAAACCGGCACTGAAATCAGGGAAATCCTTCCCCCCACGGTCTGAAAGGTGCTCGCAACTGTTGCAAGTCTGCCAGACTGGGTACAATTCCTGTAAAACCTCTCAATTCAATTCCCCCCCCTTTTTGGACTCCAGAAAATAGTCCCTTCACCCCTTGGTGTAGGTGGGGGGTGCCAGACATGAAACTTATGGCATTCAAGTTTATCAACAAACTGCACAGATCTGTCGCCAAGTCCAGGAATCACAGAGACTTTGTAGTGGATGCCTTGGTGACTCCATGGGATCAATTCAACCTGATCCTTGTCTTCCCTTTTCCGAAATTCTTGCCTTGCCCACTTTGCAGGATACAGACGGAAGGCCTCATTGCTCCTAACTGGCCCAGGATAGCGTAGTAAGGGATGCAGCGCTACCAAGTATTTGGGTGAGTAATCGTACTCGCCCAAATGCTCCGATACTTACCTCCCGAAACTGGATTTTCCGGTCAGATGAAGATTTCCTCTGACCGACGGTGCCGCGAGGGAACATGGAGCTGGCTTTCCTGTCTATTAGGAAGCCGGGTGGTGGATAATGACTCACCACCCGGCTTCCCAGAGTCGGCTTCCCGGCCAATCAGGAAGCCGGGCGGTGGGTAATGACCCGGCTCATAGTTACATAGTCAGGTTGAAAGAAGACACATGTCCATCGAGTTCAACCTACCACCCGGCTTCCTGATTGGCTGGGAAGCCGGCTCCATGCTGATTGGCAAGGAAGCCTGCTTTCTGGCCAATCAGCATCGAGTCGGCCAAACAACTGGCTCCATGCCGATTGGGCGGGAAGCCGGCTCCATACTGTTTGACTGGCTCAATTCTGATTGGCCAGGAAGCTGGCTCAAAGATGATTAGCTGGGAAGCTGGCTTCCTGGCCAATAAGCATCGAGCAGGCCAAACAGCATGGGCTGGCTTCCAGGGAAAAAAAATAATTCCTGTTTTCCCGATTGTCCGGGAAGTTGGCTCCATGCTAGCGGAAGTACCGGTATCGGTACTCGGTTTTGGCGAGTACAGATAGATAAATATCGGTACTTGTATTCAATACCAAAAAAACGGTATCTTAGCATCCCTAAAACAGACTTAGTCAAACCCCTTTCAAACTCTCCATGTGCTCTTCTGAATCATCCAAAACTCATGTCCCAGTGACTGGTTTTCTACTTCTTCACTCCTTAAAGCTAGGAAATCAACCTCCCCGCAAGGTCTACCATCACACCTAAAAGGCTTATTTTACTTGGTGCTAAGATAGGAAGTTCCTTCAGCTTCTTTTCCCAAGTCTTAAGGCACCATCTAGCATCACATTTTTGTTTGGCAAATCTTTACCAGTGACTCCCTAGTGAAGGCCTTTGTGTGTGGGGTTGCTCATTTTGCTGGGGGTTATGCAGGCCCTTTAAGCTGAAGGGCAAAGTTCCCCTTTTCCAGTCAAAGTTCACTCTACTTGAAGCGCTAATGCTTTTGGACCTTTCAGCACCAGGCTTTGGTATCCCGAATCTTTAAGGCTGCCACCTGGTCTTCTGTTCACATTTTTGCCAAGTGGATACTCAGGCCTCTGCAAAATTCAGATTCGTTCACAAAGCTCTCCAGACGGCCCTGAATTTTGGGCCCCTTCTGGGGTTTGTTTGTGGCTTTTCACTGGCCTGTTAGCTGTTATTTTCTGCATTGCCCATCCCTTTCTTGTGCTACGTGTGTACTTCTGTTAGGTTCCAAAATTAACTCCCTGTGTCCAGTAATGTACTTCAAGAATTGGATTTGTGTGTGTGTATACTGCTCTGAATTTCAATAACCCTGTATGTTTTGTGAACTGAGGAATTCATCCAGGTGTTTTTTGAGGCAGTTTTAGTTTCCCGCTTATACAGCTATCTGTGGAAGTGAATTCCACATCTTTACCTTTCTCTCAAAGCAAAATACCCCTTACGCAGTTTATGTTTATACCTCCTCCCCTCACAACATCATGTTGTGCCCTCGCGTCTGCCTCACGGTACTTAGTTTAAGTAGTGTGTTCCCAATACTGCAGTCCCCACTGATGAGTTTGTAAACTGCGATCATGTGACCTCTTAAGCGCCTCTTCTCTAAAGAACACAATCCTAATTTTTGTAGGCTTTCTTGATAACTCAGACCCTCCATACCGCTTATTAATTTGGTTGCCCTTCATCTTAATGTTTTATATACAGATGTTGATAGTGTAATGTTTACGGATGATAAAGATATAGTTTACAATCCTGGGTGTCAATCTCCATTAGTGATGCACTTTTTTTACATAACGCATCCAGACAAAAAAAAATACCTCCACTCGTTCCCTTACCGATCATCTCCCTGCAGAGAGTAGTGACTGTCAGTCACCGCTCCCCACAGGGATTCCCCTCTACCCTCTCCGATCCTTCGGCGCTGACTGGAGAAATGGACGGGGAAGGGGGTGGGCATAGTTGGCTCTGCCTCTAGATAGGCAGCGCCCGCTGTCAATCAGCCAGTGGGGTGGATCTAGACAGCATTGTTGGGATCCGTCCCAGCTGCGGAGCTCTCAGCATATGCCCGCTATATACTGAGTTTTAGGTCATGGGAGGACATTAGTATATGTCCCCCTGTGACCCTAAAGAGAAATATCTGGAAAAAAGGTTACCCCATAGTTGTCTTTTAAGCAGTACTTATCGAACATCAAGCTAAGTTCTGGAAATGCTTTGGCTGACAAATGTGCTTAAAGATCCTCTAATCCACCTAAAAGTTCACTGACATATCCTGATTGTGCTTATTAAGGTTATGTAAAATTATTATTATTATTATACAGGATTTATATAGCGCTAACATTTTGCGCAGCGCTTTACAATATAAGGAAGACATTACAGTTACAATACAATACAAGATGGTAAGGAGGGCCCTGCCCCTGAGGGCTTACAATCTGAAAGAGGAGGGGGAAATGATACATAAGGAGGGAGCTGTGTGGGGATGAATTATTTGAGAATGTGAAGGTTCAGTGGTTAGGTCGAGGTGGGATAGGCTTCTCTGAAGAGATGAGTCTTTAGGGAACGCCTAAAGGCAGTCAAGGTGGGAGATAGACGGACAGGTTGGGGTAAAGAGTTCCAGAGGATGGGAGAGACTCTAGAGAAGTCCTGGAGGCGAGTATGGGAGGAGTGGACAAGGGAGCTGGAAAGCAGGAGCTCAATGGATGAGCGGAGGGGACGGTTAGGGTAATACTTTGAGACAAGGTCTGAGATATATCCGTGGGCAGAGTTGTGGATGGCTTTATACGTGACTGTTAATATTTTGAATTTTATCCTCTCGGCGAGTGGAAGCCAGTGTAGGGATTGGCAGAGGGGGGATGCAGACACTGAGCGGTTGGTAAGGTGAATGAGTCTGGCAGCTGCATTCATGATAGACTGAAGGGGGGATAGCCTGTGTAGTGGAAGGCCAATGAGGAGGGAGTTACAATAGTCAAGACGAGAGATTACAAGGGAGTGGATAAGTAGTTTTGCGGTTTCTTTGGTGAGGAAAGGGCACATTCTTGAGATGTTACGAAGGTGAAGGCGGCAGGATTTGGATAGCGATTGGATGTGGGGAAGAAAGGTGAGGTCCGAGTCAAGGATGACACCTAGGACCTGGGCAAGAGGGGAGGTTTGGATAGTTGTGTTATCAATCTCAACTGAAATGTTGGGGGAAGGTGCACGGGCAGGAGGAAATATCATGAGCTCAGTTTTTGAAAGATTGAGTTTTAAGAAATGTTGTGACATCCAGACTGATATGTCATTTAGTAGATTAGTGACACGCAAGGACACTGAAGGGGAGAGTTGGGATGTAAAATGGGATGTAATTATATATTGTCAAACTAGTTTGCATATTTGCTATTCTGACTTTAGGGAGGAAACTGACAGTGATACACCCAGCAAACACCCAACTTACAGTGTATGTTAACCCCTAACAATGAACTTATTTGATTTACTCCCTTTTGGTTTGTTAACCCCTTGCTGCCACCTCCCACTGTCCCTTTAATTGGGTCTTCATGTTGGGAGGTGGAATCTTTATCATGTGATTGGCAGTCACATGATCAGGAACCAGTGGGGCGGGCTCATTTACGGTGCCTGGGAGCTGTCTGTGACACCTCAGTCAGTGCTCGGAGAATGCAGTAAGCATGCTCTCAGCACACAATAGCATAGCCCCATGGACACACACATATATATATGGCAATACATAATTACATGTTTTCAGCTGTTTTTACAATTACTGCCTACTAGGGATGAGCAAATCTGCCAGGTGTGGCAACGCATGGCAATTCCACAGTGTAATTTGGCTTTCTGGTCACCCAGGGATGGATTTTGGAAAGGTGCTATGTGTCCCCTGTATTTTGGTTAGGGTCCCTTTAAGGGGGCAACCAAGTGTTACCTGCCCTGCAGGAGGAGTGGTTAAAAGAGGACACTCCACAGAAGGTGGGTGTGGAGTAGTAGGAGTCACAGAGGTGTGTGGAAAAACTGTATGAGTTGCTGACTTGTACTGAAGACTTGTACTCTGAAGACTGTTGAGAAATACCTCAAAGTCCTGGGATTGGGACACTTTGACAGTACGCGACAACTTTGTGTCAGTAAGACACTGCAACGTGTTTTTCTGAAGATAAGCAAACTTTGTGTATTGTTATGCTGAGGGAAATTTCTGTTGATGACACTGGTTGTCAGCCTTTCTGGAAAAAAAGGTTTTCCTGTTTGTGACAAACGACTTTGAGAGTGATCCCTAAAAGCTCACCACAGCTGCTAATTCCCCTGAATACAGAGGAATTTACAATACAAGGTAAAACACTCAGGGGAGAATTTATCAAAACTGGAGCAGACAAGGTCTGGAGCAGCTGTGCATGGCAACCAATCAGCTTCTCTCTTCAGTTTGTTTAGATTTGAAAATGTTGAAAATGAAAGAAGAAGCTGAATGGTTGCCATGCACAGCTGCTCCAGATTTTGTCTGCTCCAGTTTTGATAAATTACCTTCACAGGGTTTCATTCTAGCCATTTGTAGAGCTAATAGGCAAGCTATTTTCAAAAAGCATTGCGGGGGGGGGATTAAATGGCACCACAATACAGTGCAGCCAGTACACTTGCACTGCAATTCACCACTATACTCATGATCATGGCGTGTATTGCATTGTGGTGCATTGTTTTTAAATACAACAATAAAACAAGTGTCTTGTGTGATTTTGAGGGTGTTGCCATGTATTGGCAGTCCATTCATAATGAATGTGCTGGTTTTCCACAGTGCATGTTAATGCACCACAATGGCCCGGAGAAATATCAGTGTGTCTTAAATCAAATGATAACAGTTATACACTTATATAAGTAAACATCAACACACTGCATCTTTTTCAGGCATCACTCAATAATTCAGCATCAACGGAGGTTGAAGCCCGAATCTTCTGGTTGGGTTTAATTATTTGCCCCATAATATGGACTATTTTCTTCTTCAGCACATTGTTTTCTCTGAAGTTAAAATGGCTGGTAAGTAATTTTTAGGGATATATAAAAGAGCTTTGGTGTAACTATTCAGGCAGCTATTTTGAAGTTGTCACAGCCCCTCAATGTTGAACTCCAGCACAGTTTTGTTGGGTGTGGGAAAAGGTTAGAACCTCTGTTAGGTTTTTATTCCCGTTTCTGGCTGTGCACACAGGAAGTAGAAGCCAAAATCCAACCTTTGACTGTTGTCAAAAGAAGAGGTGTCCCAATTGATAGAGTTCCCTCCTTTTATGTTCTGGTGACTAATGCAAACATTTTAGATATTTAGTAATCGCTGTGACAAAAAGTATGCATGAATTGCCCTGGACATAGATAGCAATAAAAACCTGTAAAATGTGAAAAACTCCCCCGCAAATTTATGGCTTCAGCTCTCATACCTGTACACCAGCCCAGAGCATTTTTACATTTCTGCTGTGGGTAATTTAATTTGTAAAAAACTTTGTCATTACTTAAGATAAAGTGTGTGTGTGTGTGTATGTATGTATGTATGTATGTACATTATGGAGACATCAGGGGTCTACTAGACCCCTAATGTCACCTAGAGACCCCCAGAGAAGCTGATGAAGCAGATCTCTTCTGTAGCTGGAAAGTGACACTGAATGCACGAAGTGATGAAGTATACATCACTTCCTGCATTCCGGGACTGGAGAGTAGATCAAAGGGAGTTTGTGTACTAATCTCCCTTTGATCTCCTGTCCCAGAGCCGTGCCGGTCCCAGGCACAGCGGATCTCGGGACCGGCAACAGCAGTGACAGCTGTTGGTAATACAAGCGATCAGGCGTCTCAAGACACTCTGCTCCAGGGATTATTAGGGGTCTAAACATATCCCTGATGTTTCCTTTTTTGAATAAATATCTGTCACAGGAGGCTGAACGGTGCGTGAGGAGAGTCGCCGGCCGCTTACATTGCTCTCCTCCACCACACCGCTCAGCCTCCTGTGACAGTTTCTCTCCTACCCACTGGACGCTGTGCTGTGTCAGAGGGGACACAGAGCCGCGCCCAGCGGGGAGGATAAAAACCAGGGATGCACTGCAATTTCGGCCAAAAGATGGCACTTCTAACCTTAGTATTTGTTCTGGTAACCTTAGTATCTGCCAGAAGGCCTGATGTAGGTTTTCTTTACTCACAGACCCCCATCCAACCCCATATGCCAAAATATATATTGCCTTAAAAAAACTAAAGATAAAGCTTTGTAAAAAAAAATAATTCACTTTAGCCCAGCTCCTGCCAGTCCTTGGTAGGCATTGGTGACATCATTGTGCCTCATCACTGTCTCCTGGGAATGGTGGACGCTCCACCCTATTGCCTTATTGAGTTGTACAGTGTTCCTGGGAGGCAGAGATGAGGCACGGTGGCATCACCCATTCCTCCCAGAGGCCAAAACCAAAGTAAGTATTTTATTTTTTACCATTTTTTTCTTGTTAAAAACTTTTTCAGAAAAGCTTTTTAAAGCTATTTTGTATCTGGAAGGTGGGACTGTCAGTAAAGCTGATCTTCCATTTACATGGAAAATCTACTTTGAGTGACTTATAAACCAAAGCCAAACACCACAAAACTTGATCAAATGTCCAATGATGTAGCTAAACTCCGTCTGATGATATAGGCTATTACTGCTTATTTTTGTAAATGTAAATAATACATTTTGATTCTCCACACATTTATTATGAAATAATTGACATGTCTGCTTTCTCTGGATACAGGCGCTTGCGATTGCTGGCATCTCTCTTCAGTCTGCAAACCTTTATGGCTATATCCATTGTAAAACTGGAGGACAAAAAAATGTTGGAAGGGCAGCTTCTAGGTTCCTGTCCCAACAACTCTTCCAGCGGGTGAGTTTTATACTGTGCTTCAGTTGTCTGTACACCAGGGCTGTAGCTACCATGGGTCGAGTGAGGCACTTGCCTCAGGCACAGCTGAGAGTTGCACAGGCTCCAACACAGCCGTGACTCGGCAGGGAGAAGAGGGGCGGCACAGGCTCCAGCTTCTCCTCGGATCCCCGCTGCTCTCCCCCATCTGTATGGACAGAGGCAGTGGGGACCTGATGAGAAATGGAGCGCTGCAGCCAGTGGGGTGGCGGAGGTTGTGAGCTGTCACTCACAACGGCCTTGCGGTGAGGAGAGAGAGAGCCGCTCGGCCAGGATCTGACAGCGGGCGGATCTTTCTCTCCTCACTGCTCAACCATCCTGAAGTGACAGCGCTCAAAAATAAATAAAGCACCCCCCACAGACTCATGCACACATATTATTAGACATGTGCAAAGACAAAATGAACAGAAACGTAAAATGTTTTCATTAGTTGCTTCAAACTAAACACATTTTTATGCTATTTTGGATTTGGCCACCAGGGCATTCCGAGCATGCGCACCACCATCCTGGAGGCGGAGTGCATGACGTCACATGATGCCGTGCATTGCCGCTTTGGGTGACATCGCACATCTGTTGGGGGGCACAATTTTCTGTTCTTGCCTTGGGCGCAAAGGGAGCTAGCTACGGCTCTGGCCACACCCCACAGCTTATGTTGCATAGTGTCCTCCAAGCCTTACAAATGTTTGCTTTACACAACAGCAGCCAAGCTAAAAAGTTATGGCTTTATTTTGCTGTAGAGAGAATGATGGAACCAAATGTATCCATCTTCGGTGACATCATTGAGTTATCACACCTGAAGTCTACAAACAGATTACAGAGGAGATATCCCAGCAATGCTCTGCTGTTGTAACCTTCCCAGGATGCCATGCTTGGACACGATTACATCATTTGCGCCCAAATGGACCAGGAAGTAGAAAAAAAGAAATTGAAAGTAAAATAAAAATATGTTTGTTTAACTAATGAATGTAAGGTTATTTCATATCAGCCTGCAGAGCTGCATGCTAATGTGATTTTTAGTCAAAGTCCACTGTGAGAAGGAAGCCTGTGCTAATAGATTTCACACTTTTCTTATGAAACTATTTTAGAGAATGTGCCCTGCTCTGTGATCCCAAATGTGTTGAGTTGTGCTAGAGATCTAATTAAAGAGGTGAAGAATATAAAAAAACACACTCCTCTATGGTTTAAAATATACTTGTTGATTTACAGTGGACCATTTTTTTTTAATGTATTTTGTGCCCCAGACAATGTCTTACTAACATAAGGTATGTTAGTACCTGGGTGCCCCAAATGGCATACTATATACCTCTCAATGTATATAGCCTTTTTTTGTTTTGTATAGACTAAGAAATGGTTCCATTCCCTGTCTTTTTTTTTTTTTTCTTGCAAAGAGAATTACCTTTATTTCCATTCCCAAAGACACAATGGCAAGATAGAGAAAATATTTTCAAAGTAAGGGAAATATTCCACTTATTTCCCTATATGTGTAATTTTTATTTCTGGTGACAATGTGTCATTGATAATGGTCACAAGGACTAATAGAGGGGATTAATCTTCCCAGGAAGGATAGACAGCAATGAAAACCTGACAAGTGTTCTTGCACCTCACCATTCTATCCAAAACTAAGAAAAAAAAAAATAGTTTTGACTTTAGACACTCTTTAGGTAGACGGCTAACACCAAGGCAAACGGATATAGAATATTTTTAATTGTCCAAATTCAGATTGAAAATACCCACACCTGGAAGTTAGTTGTGTTCTACTGCATTTTCTGTTTGCATATATGACTGAATTCTATAAACTTCAGTGATTGGGGTGTAATCTATTATCATATTGTGTTAATTGTCATGCAAGAACTACAGATGAATCTAACTGAATGCAGTTGTCTGTGCTTGCACTGATACAGCACATAGCTTAATTTTTTAATATGGCGAGAATTTTTTTTAACTCACACTGGAGGTTAAAAAGCACGTTAAATTAAAAGGGAATAACATAAATAGAGTAGTTTTCTTCTCTGCCTTAGCCCTAGCTCGACGAACGCTCTACAAAACGCTCAAAAATATAAATCCCATTGTATTATATGGTCTCGTTCCCACCCTGGCGTATTTCCGCCCGTCCCTAACGTGCTACAAAACAGCCCACGCCTGAAAAGGTACAGATACTACTTTGGGCCGTTTTGATGCGCGTTTCCATTGGGATACAGCCAAGTAGCCTTCGGAAACGCGCGACGGTTGTGCAACTTTTTTACCGTGAATCGGGGTAAAAAACCGCGCGACAGACGCGCATATGCAATACGCCGAGGTGTGAACGGGACCTTATAGTATCAGTTTGGCAGAAATGTGAAGTTTATTGGACATATTGGCGATTTTTTGCATCTATGGAAAAAGTCCTCTAATTTTACCTTACTTCATTGAAAGATAAAATTAGTTAAAAAAAAGAAAAAAAGGTCTCATTTGAAGCTACCTGCAATGCATGGGAAGCTTACAAGAAGAACAAGCTACAGGTCACAGTGGTGAGTTTTTACTAATTATTATACTGTATGTACCCATGATCACAGACCTCATATGTACAATGTTTTTACATATCGGTAACAAGTTAATAAATGGTCTTTTCTTGTACATAAACAACTTCACGTGATATAGTCTTACTGTATCAGTTTTGTTGGTGGTTAGGAGGAACTTCTCCAATGGGGACACAACAGTAGTAAAAACTCTGAACGGGAAGAAGTAAAAGCCCAAGTCAAATTTTTATTGCTGTCTTTGTCCCCATTAAGAAGGTGTTACTGTGGCAGAAAATAAGGGGAGGTTCCCCTACAAGGACACAGACAGCAATCATCACTTGACTAGAGGTTCTAACTCTTCTCCAATTTATGCATGAAACATGAATTTTGATTTCATACACCTTTGCCTTGCAGACTCTCTGAAAGAAGTACACAACTCTATCCGAGGGGCCACGGCTATATGAATATTTCCATTACAAGGAAAGACCTATTACAGAATAATGTGTGAAATATCGTGCCTTATGTTCATTTTATAAGATCAATTTTATTTATACATATTTATTTGATTAATATTATAAATGCTAAAACAAAAGTTGTGTCTTGTGTTGCATTTTTTCTTATGGTAATAGGTCCCTGGTAAAAATGTTCATCTGTAATCTATTAATATACTCTGGTGCTTTCGGTCTATGTCTAAAGGAAACCTGTTGCAAGAGAATATCCATACTTGACTATGGACTGAGAACTGGCTACAGGAACGTGTCCAGAGAGTATCGATAATAGGCTCCTTTTGAGATTGGGCTAGGGTCATGAGTGGCGTGCCTCAGGGATCTGTGCTAGGCCCCATGCTACTCAACCTGTTTATTAACGATATTGAGTAGGGCGTAAATAGCCATGTTTCCGTGTTTGCTGATGATACTAAAATTGGGAGGGTAATAGACACAGAATTAAACACTGCAACATTACAGGAGGACCTGGATAAAATAGGGGAGTGGGCAACTATTTGGCAGATGAGGTTTAATGTAGATAAATGTAAAGTAATGCACTTTGGGGTTAAAAAAAGGCAAGCAGGATACACATTAATGGGAACTCCACTAGGAAAGTCAGAAATGGAAAAAGATCTGGGGGTCATAGTAGGCCATAGATTGAATAACAGCTTGCAATGCCAGGCTGCAGCAAACAAAGCGAGCAGAGTGCTGTCTTGTATTAAAAAAAGGGAATGCACGGGGCGTGGCCTGGACGCGATGGCGGAGAGTCGCACCTAGGACGAGCTCCGTCCGGACCCTCTGCATCCGCACTTATCCGACTCCGGTTTAGCCTACCGGCCGCCCAAGAAGCATGACGGGGAAACGGAAGACCTGCGGGAAGCCTCCAAAGACCCCAAAGCAGCCGAGGGGATCGCTGGATACCTTCCTCCGCGATCGGCGAACATGCGACCGGGCCGCAGCCAAGGTGGCGCCCGGCGGTTCACATGCTGCCGGCTCGCCTTCAGGTATGCCTTGCCCCACCCCGATCCCCTCACTATTCCTGAATGGAGACCCCCGGGACCCAGATAGATCCCTGAGATCGGGGTATTCAGACACGGCCACATCTGACGGAGAGGACCCAGACTGGGACTTGAAGGCTGCCCTCCGGTCCCTACCCACTAAAGCTGACCTCCAGGAGTTTGTCTCCCAGGTGGAAGGGGCACATAAACAGGCCATTACTGACCTCAAGGCCGACACCACACAGCTGGGCCAGAGAGTGGAGCAATTAGAGACACAATATGCTAAGGCCCTGCATACCATCTCCCTCCTGAAGGGCAAAATGCTGCAGCAGGACTCTAACATTGCAGCGCTGCACAACCAATTGGATGATTATGAAAATAGGAGCCGCTCTAACATCCGGCTGCGAGGCCTTCCAGAGGCAACCAGACCGCAAGACCTGTTGCCCACGGTGACGGGCATCTTTAACCAGATTCTAGACAGGCCAGCCGCAACGCACATTGAGATTGACCGGGTCCACAGGGCACTCCGCCCCCCTAACCAGGATCCAGATAACCCCAGAGACGTTATCTGTAGGCTGCACAAATATACAGAGAAAGAATCCATTATGCACCGCATGCGTTCTCGCTCTCATATTGACTTTGATGGCGCAAAAGTGTCCCTATACCCGGACCTCTCTAGACGCAGGCAGGCGATGAGGAGATCCCTGCACCCCTTGCTGGAGGTACTAATGTCGGCCGACATCCCCTATAGATGGGGCTACCCCTTTAGCCTAATTGCTAAAAAGAATGGGAAGACGGCAATTCTAGGCGACAAGGATGATCTACCCAGATTTCTACACCAACTTGACTTACCTCCGGTGGATTTGCCCGCATGGCACCAGCCGACCGACGACATCCGCCTGCCTCCCCGGCCCACCCCGTGGCACACAGCGGGCCCTAGACCCTCCTGTAATGCCAGAGCCCTGCCCAGAGCGCCCAGACGGCCACCAAAGAAGCCTACCTGACCAGGCTGAAGAATCACCCTTCTCTCCAGACTAAACCGCATTGAACTTTCCCCTTATGACTTTCTCCTAAGGACTGGCTTTAGTCGGATGGAATATCGCTTCCTCATGGACCTATCAGAAGCGGTTGATATGTTTTATTTCGCTGACTTTGTCCGCACCCGTTTTTGTTCATTTTATTTTCTTTTTTATGTTTTATGCTGACCATTTTTTCACCTTTCGCTTACTTGATGCAGAGGGCACCGGCCTCTCTTACTCTTTTCATGGGAGCCTCGATCTCCATGGCGTCCTACCCTGTTCCCCCAGTAGGACCTGTCTCACTACTAGAGACCTGTCAGATTTCTGACATGGCTGTCCTGGAGGGCCATCTCCACCCCGGTTGGGTGCGGTGGCCCACTAGGAGAGCGATACTTGTTCTGATTGTTCTGTTGTACATACCTTGTTGTTCATCTTATTTTTGGTTTCTCTTGTATCCCCTGCCTCTCCTTAGGTCCGTTCCCTATGGTCCGCTGGATGTGCCTTGCTCCGTTCCACCTCCTCCACCGCTCTTACCTGCTCTTCCACCATGACGGCGCTTAATGTAGTGTCCTACAACGTCCGGGGCCTTGGTTCCCCCCACAAGCGCAGTAAGTTATGGTCTGAACTTAAACACCTAAAAGCACACGTAGTCATGCTACAAGAAACACACTTCACCCCGACATCCAACGTCAGCCTACCTACAAATTTATTCTCCCAATGGTACCTTAGTAATTCACCTTCCGCTAAATCTAGGAGAGTCGCCATAGCAATTCATAAGAACTGTCATTTCGACGTTCAGGACCAATGCTCTGACGCTAATGGCAGATACCTATTTATCAAGGGTTCCATTGAGGGGATAAAAGTCACGTTTGCCGTAATCTATGCCCCAAACACACAACAATTAACTTTTTTTGACATGGTCCTCCCCAAATTACTCACCTTCACAGACGGTATGCTTATATTAGGTGGTGATTTCAATTTTAGCCGTGACCCTGCCCTGGACGTATCCACGGGGAAATCAGCCCACTCTTTTGCCGCCCTGAAACACTTTCGGCGGGCACTACAGAATCTGGCCCTCATTGACAGCTGGCGCGCACTCCACGCCCCCGACAGAGCTACCGCCCGATCTCCCTGATTAACGTAGACATAAAGATCTTTTCTAAAATATTAGCGAACAGGTTGGGACCCCTCCTACCAACCCTAGTCCACCCTGATCAAACTGGCTTTATACCACAGCGGGAAGCAAGAGATAATGCCCTTAGAGCCACTCACATTCTACACTGGGCCCGCTCTATGTCGCACCCCCCTTCCTTCCTGTTCCTCTCCTTGGACGCAGAGAAGGCATTTGACAGGGTGGACTGGGTGTTTCTGGAGGAGGTTCTGCGCAAACGGGGACTGGGAGCTGCATTGCTATCTTGGATCTCCTCCCTTTATACGACACTGGGGGCACGGCTGAGGGTGAATGGCGCCCTGTCGACCCCGTTCCCGGTTCGGAACGGGGCCAGGCAGGGGTGCCCATTGTCGCCACTACTTTTCGCCCTCACTCTTGAACCCCTATTACGAATGATCCGCTCGGACCCGAATATTCACGGGGTAAATATAGGTAGCGTGGAACACAAACTTGCGGCTTACGCTGATGTTCGTGACCCAGCCTCTCATATCCCTGCCTAACATACTCTGAGCAATAGACACCTACGGTACCCTTTCCAACTTTAAAATTAACTACTTGAAATCTGAGATCCTCCCTATCACAGTCTCTGCCCCCCATGTACTTACCCTCCAGAGGGCCTTCCCCTTTGTCTGGGCGAC